GCTGAAGGGCCCATACTGTTGGCACGCCCCCATCACCTGGCTGCAGGCAGCACTGCCAGCTTTCCGCACCTTAAAGTCACCTTTCTCCCCTGTAGCATTCTGTGTTCTCTGGAGGAAGCTGTCACCTGCAGCTTTCCCTCAAGGAGTGGGGGAGTCACCCCACACCCGAGGAGCAGAGCCACCACATGGAGCATTTGGAATTCCTCCTTATGAGGGCCTCGTCTGCATTGACTTGGCCTTCTATGATTGTACCGTGTGACCGCACGGACGCTTGCTTTGTATTTTGGGCTGTGACCCAGTACTGCTGCACCAGTTGCTTGGACTGTTCCAGGTCTGCCACCGAGAGCTCTGCTGATGGGCGTACATAACGCTTGTCATTTCTGTCGTCACGAGCTTGAGGTTTTTTAGAGACTCAAGTTAGCACTTTCTCATTTTTTGCCTTTATAAAATACCCTAGGCTCGTCCTCTGCATTCCTGTCCCCGTTGTAGAACTGACCGTTTCCAAAGAGCCCTGCTCCCCGTGGCTGGACAACAACGTTAGAAACCAGCTGCAGCCTCGATCACTGTCACCCCTGGGTGGTTGAAGCCTCCGATCTCTCTCAGCGGGTGGAGCAAGGAGTGCATGTGCGTGTGCGTGTGAGCGCGTGTGTGCATCTGCTCACCTGTACGCGTACATCGACAGATGTCTCTAGGCACCGTCGGCGTCCAGAGAGCCGAGCATGAGCTTCTGATCCCCGCCCCGTGTCACCCACTCCTCCTCCCTGGCTTCTCCGCACCCTCTTGGTAGCTCACGGTGACTGGTGGGTCACGTTATGGTTAGTGTTGCGAGCAGCTGTCCGCCAAGGTGACTACTGTGTCCTGCAGGCCCACAGCAGCAGGAGGACGTCCGACAGCCTCTTGCCAGGGTGGGCTTCGCAGATCTAGCTTTCATCTAACTCCTCTGCACGGTGCGATCCCTCACTGGGGTCCAAATTTGCAACTCTGCAGTGGCAGAGATGCCAAGCCCCCTACCGCGAGCTTCTCTTCCCGCCGTGTTCTCCCAGGGTCGTTCAGGTCCTCTCCCCATTCCCTGCTGGGCTGCTATTCCTGGCTGCTCAATTTGAAGCGTTTTGCACATTTTCGAGGTTAGTGTTTTGTCAGTAAACTCTGTGCAAATCTTTTCTTCCAGATTGTGGCTTATGCTTTTGTTCTCTTATCCTTTTGTTCTTTCATAGAGCAGGAGTTTCGAACTCCAGCATCTAGTGCCGATCTTTTCCTGTTTTTGAATCCCACTACTTGTGTTGCATTTTGAAAGTCATCACCAAGCTGAGATCTCGTGCATAATCTTTGATGTTTCTTCAGATGTGTGGCAGCTCTTCGTGTTGTGTTCCTGTCACGCTTCTTTTTGAGTTAATTTCTGTGCAAGGCGTAGTCTGTGCCTCGCTGGTTCGGGCGTCCAGCCAGTGCTGTGGCCGTGTCATCCACTGGGCAGACCGGCCCCCACCGCTCTGCCCGCGCTCCTGTGGCACAGGTCGGTAGACCATTGTGTCCGTCAGTCTGTGGGCTGCCCTCTCCGCCCCACTGGCCCGGCTGCTTCCTACGAGCGTCTGCTGTCCACACTCCTGGTCAAGCGCAGCCCAGCTGCCTCCGTCTCACCGCTGCCTCGCTGTGCTAGGTCCTCCCCTCTGTACGAACGTCAGAATCGTTCACAAAGATGGGAATTGATAGGAGTGCTGTTCAGTCCACAGGTTAAACTGGAAAGAACTGACAACTTAGAACTCTTAGCATTCTGATCCATGAGCATAGAATACCGTTTATTCATCTACCTGATTTTTTAAAAAAAATCAGTGCTCTATATATAGTTTTCCACATGGAAGTTCCATACATATTTTATCAGACCTATATGCAGCTTTCTGTGTTTACCTTCCACTTCCTCCTCCTGTCTCTCAGAGCCGGAGGGGTGTCCAGTGCAGCACTGGCCAGGAGGTGGGGGGGGAGCTTCCGCCTCATCCTGCTCTTGGGGAGCAGCCCAGTCTCACTGCGATGTGAGCTCTCAGTTTCTGTTTCCCTGTGTTCTAGTTAACTACCTTTCTTTTTTTGTTTTTTTGTGGGTTTTTTTGGTACCAGGGTTCAAACTCATGACCTCACACTTGCCAGGCAGGCGTTTATGCCACTGAGCTAAATCCCTGGCCTAATTTAATTACCTTTCTTTTGTGTTTCAGTGATTTATACTGATCTATATGATATGACTGAAAAATATAGTGAATTAATTTTAAAATTTATTCTGGGGCCAGGGGTTTAGCTCAGCGGCACCAGTGCCTGCTTGGCAAGCGTGAAGTCGAGAGTTTGATCCCCAGTATCAAAAAAAAAATTAAAACTTATTCTGCATAAGTCATATTGCTACTGTGTCCTCTTCGTCATCCTCCTCTTCCTCACTTCCATACACTGGTACCGTCATCCTCCCCACCTTCTTTTTTGTGTGTGGGGTACCAGGGATTGAACGCATGACTTCACACTTGCCTGGCAGGCTCTTGTACCACTAAACTAAACCGCCAGCCCGCTTTCTCTTCTCTTCTTGTTTTGAGAGAGTCTCACTCTGTAGTTCAGGCTGGCCGTGAACTCACAGTGATCTTCCTGCCCCAGCCTCCTGCGTGCTGAGATTACAGACTGGGATTAAAGTAACTGTGTGCCAGGGCTGATCAAACCCCCAGCTGCCGGAGGAGGGAGCAATGGGAACCAAAGACAAAATACTACCTCATTTAGGCGAGGAGTTTGGGAGGAGCTGTCTCCGGTGGACTGACGCTGACCTCTCCGCATTGCCCGCTTTTATTAGTGAGAAGCTGGGGGTGGAAGGGAGGTAACGCACTTTTCTTGGAACAGCGGCTGTGGGCTGGGACAGTAAAATGCAGATCAAGTTTAGCATGTCAAGGGGAACAAGTTAAAGCTGGTCCCTGGACGCCTGCATTTTCTGTCCTGGGCAGATTCTATCTTGTCTCAGGAGGCTGTGAATCTGAGCTTTGGCCTCACAGCCAGGAGCATGCAGTATCTGCAAACTCTCCTGCCCCTTGAGGCAAGTCACACTTGGGGCCACAGAGCTTGGGGCCACAGTCTGGTAGTCTGGTCCTTAACACAGTGAATTATTATTTTATATGGATACAGGGGAAAGAAACTGCCAACCAACAGATGTCTGGTACGAGTCTGTGTTCTTTTTTTTTTTTTTTTATCGGTACTGGGGATCGAACTCACTCCTGCCTGCCTGCAAGGCAGGTGCTTATGCCGCTGAGCTAGAGCCCCAGCCCCGAGTCTGTGTTCTTTAAATCGAAGAAGGAATTTTAGGAACAACAGAGGTTAGAGCAGAACGTATTTATTGAGAGAAAGAAAGTGTGTGTCTGAGAGAGACAGAAGGGGTTCCGAGCAGGTTGTCAAAACTGTCTTTTCTAGGGATTTTATAGAGCAAAACCACAAGGAGAGGCGGGTCTACGGGAGGCAAAATGGGAGCTTGCAAGGTGGGGTGGGACGGAACTATGGCCAGCCCGTAAGATTTCGAGTGTAATTGCTCAGGTTAATTGGCTATTGGAACCCAATGGGAGGTGAATCATGGAACAAGCTAGAACAGGGCCTTTGCCTGGGGCGATGGAATTAGTGGCTTCTGGCTTTCTCAGGGTGATCAAGGTGTCTAGGTGACACTTGTGTAAAATATCAATCTTCTAGGGTTGCATTTGTTTTGTCTTTTCTTTCCTTTTGAGATCCGGCCCACAGCAGGTGGTGTCTGTCTCCTCCAAGGTTGCAAGATATCTGGTCCTCTGCCCTGGCTCCTTCGAGGGCCCAGCCCTGTCTGCCCGCCTGTAATACTTCTATCTAACCCTGCTGCCTGTACCGACATCCCCAGGACCCAAACGATGGTTTTTAATTTAAACACACATCACATATTTCGCTCAGGTCCCGCCCACAGGCCTGCTGTTCCTGTCTCTTGGGTGTTCAGCATCCTGTTACAACACAAACCCTTCGCCTCCTAATGGCATTTCCCATCTGTTCTTTGTAGTTTTCATTTATCTAGTAAAACGCACCTGCTAGTGACACGTCTTCCACCTTCTCCGAGGGACCTGTAACTTTGCGCCACCGCCCCCTGCTGCCCACGACTTCAGGACCCTCCTAAGCCCATTTCTCCTGCATTTGTCTGGCTCTCCTGGTCCTCGTTCGCAGCTTCCCTGCCCCTGCCCACATGGGCCTGAAGGTCCCGTGGGGAAGAATCACAGCGGGCACTGATGCCCTTGGAGCCAGGCTCCCCAGAATCCCAGCTCTTGCCTGGCTCTTGCAGGAGACAAGGCTGGTGGACGCTTCCTCTGTGCTGGGGACCGCCCTGCTATGTGGCCAGCCCTCCTCTTCACTGGGCAGGGACCAGACCCACTCGAGGCCCCTGCTTCCGTGGGGAGGGCTCATCCCTGTCTGGATGAGGTGGTTTCTAAGAACCCCCCTGTGCGGTGAGCTCCACTGTCCACACAGGGCCCCTACTCCTGCAGCCTGTGGGTGGAGGACAAAGTCTCAGTTCCTGCCTCCTCAAGGGGTGTGGTCCTCTGAGCCCTCGGGTGCCTCCTGGGTGGGAAACACTGCCCCAAGCCAGGTCTGGCGGGGACCAGACCGGCTAGGTCTCACCCCGGACCTGGGTTTCGTCTCAGGCACCCCACACCCTTCTCCAGGAGCAGACAGCTTGTCCCCAGCACCTGATGCTAAGGGGTGAGGAGGGCGCCTGGAACCTTCAGCAATCGCAAAGGTGCAGGCGGCGTCAGGGCCCAGCCGCTGGGGTCACCTCCCTCAAAGAACCTCCCTATGAGAGAGCCACTGCGCCTGCCCTGGAGGGATGCCAGGAGCTGCCCACCTCGGGGGCCGGGCAGATGAGCAAGCCAGGGCCCCTTGGCTTTGCACCCAGGCCCAGTGGAAAGCAGACAGAGCAGGACTCTGAGCTGGGTTCCAAGGAGCCCCAAAGGGTCCCAGAGCAAGCTGAGTGCTGTGTCTCTCCCTAGGGAAGCAGCTGCACCCCTTTACTAGCTGGTGGTGCTCCTCACATGAAGAGAGGACCGTTGTAAAACGAGAACCCCAAGGTAGACCTAGATTCCCTGCCAGGCAGCCCAAGGAGGGGGACTCCTCAGTTGGGGACGTGGGGAGCTCCATGAAGGGACAGGGAGCCCTGTCCCTGGAGAACACAGGAGGAGTGTGGGGCGGGGGAAATGGGCAAGGACACCAGTGTGAGCGCCTGCTGGGTGCAGGATGCTTACTGGGTGAGACTCCAACCAGAGGCCAGAGGGGGCAGTGCCAGAGGAGCTGGTCACCAGCAGGAGACCATGGCCAGCCTCAGCCCTCAAGGCCTGGTCTCTGTGTAGTCAGTGGAGGCAGAGGGCAAGTAAGATGGAAGTCAGGGTCCCCCAAAGCTCCACCCTGAGAGCCCAGGCTATGCTCCCACTCAGAGTATCCAGGGAGAGAGGCAGGAGTGAGGCCCCGCCCATGCAGCGATGGCCCCGCCCTCCAGGTGAAAGCCCCGCCTCCAACTCACTCTCAGTTTCTCTGCAGCAGTCCAGGAGCCCGAGCAGGTGGATGAGATCTGCACCAGCCCGGGCTGCGTGATAGCCGGTAAGCGCTTCCAACTACGACAACCCTCCCCGCAGCCAGGCAGCCACCCACGCACTGTCCACCCTCCCTCCCCGCGTGGCATCTCCCAGGAATTTGTCTAAAATCAGACCAAGACTGCCGTTTGCAGAACAAAGCGGCAGGAGGGAGAGAGAGACTGGTGGGGGGACAGCTCGGTTTCCTGCCCACCTGGGTGTGGAGGCCCAGGACGCTTCTGCTCCCTCCCTATCCTCAAAGGGGGTAGGACTCAGACAAGCAAAACAAGGCCAGCTCCCAGGCCGCTATGGGGACCTCTGTAGGGGCTTCTGGGGCATGGGAGGCCCAGCCTGGCCACCTAGCGGAGAGCAGCCAGCCGCAAACCTCAGTGACCTGTAACGGAAGACAGACCCCCACACACTGGGCACAGCCAGGGCCAGACATAGCTCACAGGGCGGGGCCGCCCTGATCCAGACACATCCCATGTTCCCATGTTCAGGGGGCATCTCCACCATCGCCTTGGTCCGCAGGTTTCAATGCTGGTATCCTCAGAAAAGAGGCCCTGGGAAGCCACAGTGGCTCAAGGCCGTGGATCACTCAGCTGTGGCTCTGGGATCCAGCCAGGTGCTCCCACCCCTGCTTCCAGCCTTACCATGGTTCAGAGAGGGCGACTGAAATCCCAAAGACACACAGCTGCCCTGTGTCTCCTACAGCCATCCCCAAGTCAGGAGGCTGTGTCTGAGACCCACAGCTCAATCTGCCCTCTTCCTCCTCCACACCCCCTGGGCCGAACAGCTGCCAGGATCCTCCAGAACATGGATTCCTCCATGGAGCCGTGCAACGACTTCTATCAGTACGCGTGCGGAGGCTGGCTGCGGCGCCACGTGATCCCTGAAACCAGCTCCCGCTACAGCATCTTTGACATCCTCCGGGACGAGCTGGAGGTCGTCCTCAAAGGTGGGAGCAGGGCCTCTTTGGGTCAGGCCGGCTGCAGGCCGGTGGCGATGGCGGTGGACCAGGAGCTGGGGTGGGCAGGGCCTTGCTGGGGCTCAGCCCCTGGCAGGGAAGGGATGCCCTGTGATATAGGCCCAGCAGCGGCAGGGAAAGACCACCAACCTGGTCGCCAGCGGCCACCGCAGCCTCTGCCCAGCATCCTCCTCTGCCCACAGGCGTGCTGGAGAATTCCACCACCAAATCTCGGCCAGCCGTGGAGAAGGCCAAGCTGCTGTACCGCTCCTGCATGAACGAAAGTGAGTGTAGCACGGGCCGAGGCCGCTCAGGGCCAGGCCCAGGGTTTCTATGCAGGGCCCCACCTGGCCACGGAGCTGGCCTGCCTGTGGGTGCTGACTGACCGCCCACTGCCCATGGACTCACACCCAGGCCAGACTCTGTTCAGGCAGCAGGAATCCAGAAGCAGCAGCAACCTGGGGCAGGCGTGTGTGTGTGTGTGTGTGTGTGCACATGTATATGTACATAAACACATAGCTTGTGTGCATGCATACTGTGCACGGCTAAGCACGCCAGTGACGCATGTGTCTGTGTGTACTGTATATGTGTGCATTTGGGTGTGCATAAGCACATGTGGATAGGTTTGCCTATTACGCTGTGTGTGTGTGTGTGTGTGCACATGTGTGCATTTCTGTGACCAAAGTTCTGAGAAAAACCACTTAAAGGAGGAGAAGTTTATGTCCGCTCACAGTTCCAGAATTTTCAGTCCATGGTGGGAAGAAGCATAGCAGAAGGGCTTGGCAGAGAAAAGCTGCTCACCTTATGGCGACCAGGAAGCAGAGAGGAAGGGAAGGAGCCAGCAAGACAGAGGAAGGGGTGGGCACAAGGCCTGTCCTTCCAGTCATGCCCCAGTCACCCGCCCCCTGCAGCCAGACCTGCCTCCTCTAGCGTGTTCTCCCGTGAATAGAGCCACGGGCCACTCCATCGCTGCCGTAGCACCCCATGGTCTAATCCTCTTCCAGAACCCCCACCCTGAGCACATGAGGCTTTGGGGGAACATTTTTGATCCAAAGCAAAGCAGCACATGGGTATGCACATGCAGATAATGTGTGTGCACAGAGGTGTTGGATATATGCAAACAGCAGGCACATTTGCTGGGCTGCTGTTTATATGTGCAAGTGGCAGGTCTGTACATGTGTGCTTATGCGTATGGGTGTATGTGTGTGTGCACTGTGGTATGTCTTGTGTGCATGTCTGTGTATGTGTACACATATCTACGTGGGTGTGGGTGCGTGCAGGGAGACTTCCCCTGCTCTGGTTCCTTTTCAAAGCGTGGCCATGGTGCCCTCGGGGTCTCTGAGCTGACCGCCTCTTCTTCCCAGGCGTGATAGAGAAGCGAGACTCTCAGCCTCTGCTGGACATCTTGGCGGTGGTGGGGGGCTGGCCGGTGGCCATGGATAAGTGGAACGAGACCATAGGTAAGGTGGCTTCGGGCTTTAAGACTGTGGGGTCTAGACCTCACAGTGGAGATGGCCCGCACAGCTCAAGCCAGCTGACCGCCTGTTTGGCTGCCGGAACTCAGGGAACCAAACTGAAGGTGGCATGAGCCACCTCCAGCCCCAGGCTGAGCAGGTGGTGCTGCTCTCTGCTGGGCCCACTGCAGCCAATGCCCTGAAGTTGTGCTGGGTATGGAGTCCTCCTGGACTCCTGGACTCCAAGGCCATGGTGCAGCTTTGGCCAAGGGTGGCACAGAGCAGCTGATGCCCCTGCACCTGTGGGCATCCCTGGGGGCTGTTTGGGGGCTGCTTCTTCCTGCCTCGTCCACCAGGAGTTTGCTACCCTCAGCGGGCAGGGATCTTTGGGCGCGTAGGATTCAATGCACCACCGAGACCCCAGCCCCTCAGCACGGGTGCTGCTCCCCAGGCCCCAAGTGGGAGCTGGAGCGGCAGCTGGCAGTGATGAACACGCAGTTCAACCGGCGGGTCCTCATCGACCTCTTCGTGTGGAATGACGACCTGAACTCCAGCCGCCACATCATCTATGTATGAGCCATGCAGCCAGGGGATAGACCTGGGGATAGACCAGGGCAGCGGCCGGGGTCTGGGGAGCTCAGTGGGGTCTGGGGCTCGGCTTCCTGAGCTCTGTCTTGTCCATATCGGGGGCCAGGTCAGGCTGCTGAGCAGTGAGCTCTGATCAGGGAACCCCAGCCCGCCTCACCCTCATGAATAGGGTGGCCTCAGAGGGCCACACTGAGCCCAGCTAGAGGGTCAGGGTCCCAGATGTGACACCACTGTAGGGCTGAGGGTTCCAGGAGATCCTTCACCAGCCTCCCCCAAGTCCCAGCCTCCAGCCCATCACCCAGAGCAGGACTTGGGACCCCAGAGGCTGGACACTGTTGAACCCACTTTCCCAAGGGGTGAGGGTCTCACTGGGCAGCGGCTGCCACCTTGACCAAACTGCAGGGATTCTCCTGGCCCTTGCGAGGATCACAACTTCTGTATTTCCAGATAGACCAGCCAACGCTGGGCATGCCATCCCGCGAGTACTACATCAAGAAGGCCAGCAACCAGAAGGTAAACTGAGGCCCCAGTGGTCCTCTCTGTGCACAGCTGTGGGTTGGTCCCTTCAGCAGCCTCGACCCACCACGCAGAGCCAGGTCCGCGCCACCAGGGTCCAAAGCCTGCAGAGGTCTGCACTGGGCAGCCAGGCTTTCTCTGCTGCATGACTTTCTGTCCCTGCACCACAGAGCTTAGTCAGGAGGAGACATGGAGGAGGCTGGGGCCAGGATGGAGGAGACAGTGAGGACAGAGTGGGCGGTGAGACCGAGGGCATCACATGGGTGGTGGTCACACAGCGAAGGCTGGGCAGTGGTGGGGAAGCCAGGAGGAGGACCATCGCCGGAGAGAAGAGCCTGGGACAGCCTGGGTGGGCCCGGCAGGGGACCCTGGCTTGCCCGGTGATGGGGCATGAATAAGGTAGGCCCTGATAGGAGGCGACCAGGTGCCAGCTCCTGGTCCAGGCAGGACAGCCAGGGGCATCTCTGCACAGCTGTCCCCACACGGAGCCTCAGGCTGCTCACTCAGCCGGGCACTGGGCTTGATCCTGATGCTCAGCCAGGCTGCCTGGCTCACTCAGCCCCAGCCTGGGGCAGTCTGGGCCCGGGGAGTGCCCGGCTCATCAGGAGTGGGGTCAGGTCGGGCGCCTGTTTGTCTCCCATCCCTGTAGGCCAAGGTTGCCTCAAGTTCTGGGGGCTGCTCAGTGTCCGTGCCACTCCACCCACAGAAAACCCCCTTTGGCCCAGGTGCGGGACGCCTACCTGCAGTTCATGATGTCGGTGGCCACCATGCTGCGGAGGGACAGCAAACTGCCGAAGAACAACCAGCTGGTGCGGGATGACATGCTGCAGGTGCTGGAGCTGGAGACTCGCCTGGCCAACGTGAGGCGGGGCCCAGGGCCGGGGGTCATGGGACCAGGCCCCAGCCACCCACCCACGTAACCCCACCTATGCAGGCCACGGCACCCCCGGAGGAGAGGCACGACGTCACCTTGCTGTACCACAGGATGGACCTGCAGCAGGTCCAGGACAGGTTCAGTCTGAAGGTGAGGCCCGACCCCCTCTCAGAGGCCAACTGGAGCCCAGGACCCCCCCTCCCAGCAGGAGCCACACTGCCTGCCCCAGAGTGGAGGAAGGGGGGTGGACAAGACAGCTGGAGCATGAGGCGGCTGGTCTGGGAGGGTGCAAGGTGACTCCGATGTGTATTTGAAGGTAGAACCCACAGGATTGGGAATGGTTAAATGTGGGAAGCCTGGAGTCACCGTGGAGGTGGCCCGGGCAGTCTGGGGACACCTGGAACCTGGGTTTGGGGCCATGTGGTTTATAATGCTCAGAACGGCCAGCAGTGAGCATCCTGAGCACTGCTCAGGCCAAGACTCTATCGTTTCTGGTGCCCAGAGGCCCCGGTACCCTTCCCATCACTGCCTCTGCCCTCCACCCAGAGCCACCCAGCCCTCCCTCCCCCGGGCACCTGCTGCCCCGGACTTCTGCTCTGTCCCTGTGACCAGACCCATGCACAATATGGCATCTTGTGACCCTTCTCCTGGCTCAGTGGCTGCTAGCATTGAGGTCTGAGAATAAATGGCACTGGGTCCCTGGTCTCTGGGATTGGGCTCTGGGTGGACCCCAGTTCCAGGCACCACCAAGCAAGGCTGCCTGGCTCGTGGTGCATGGCTTTCGAGATGCACATGGCAGGGTTCTGCCTGTCCTCACTGGGCATGAAGCTGTCAGGTGGGAAGTGTGGACGTTCGGTGCGGTAGACAAGGCCAGCGCAGGGCCTTTCTGCAGTAATTTATAGCTCCCTCTGCAGCCATAGCACGTGACCCTGCCAGGGCCTGGTGGCAACCCTCTTCTCATCTTAGCTCTTCAAGGGCACGTGGCAGGCACCCATCTGGGCTCACCTCAGCTTCCCTGAAGCCAGCAAGGTCAAGCGCCACATAGATATGATTGAAAAATACAGAGATGTTTAAATTCTTAAAAAATGTACTGCAATAGAATACACACTGCCAACCAGCCATCCTGAAACCCTCCCTTCCGCTCTCTCACACGCCCGTGCTCCCACCTCTTCTGCGGCAGCTCTGCGGTGCTCTCTCCTGAGTGTGTCTGGCTGTCCTGTCCCGCTGCCTTGAGGTCCCGAGTTGAGTCCTGACCTTGGCTTTGTGTAGTGGTTTGACTGTGGGGAAGGGCCAGAAGTCACACGGGAAGGGCAACTGCGGTGGCCAAGGGCCCAACATCATGTCTTTGTGACGCTGCTTTTCACACACGCTGGGTACCCCGGCCACCTTTGCAGCTCACGTTGCCAGGCTGAGGCTGGGCTCCTCTGGGGAACGTGTCTTCCGGTCTCTGGCCCTCCGTCCCGCTGGCTGCCTGGCCTCCTCTTACCAAACTCCAGCCACTGACGGAGAAGCATCCTCCCCGACTCCGCAGCTGTTTTCATCACCAAGGTTCCTTTGTGTCTAGGGAGGTTTTTAATGGTCCATCATCATCCTGAAAAGACAGCGATGCTGCCCTTGTGATCGGTATTTTCTCTGCTCCATTTAAGAAAGCTTTGCCCAGCCCGAGGGGGTCCAGGCCTACGGTGTGCCGAGTTGAGCTTGCGTACAGGGAGAGTCGGGACTATCTGGTTTCTTCCCCGTGGATTCAGGTGACCCAGCACCGCGTACGGATAAGATCCGTGTGTCCTCCCGGGTGTGGCTCAAGCGTCGTGTGCCTGGGTGTGCCCTTCCGTTCCATGGTCCATGTTCATGGCTGTCCGCACCACTGTGGCTTTGTTCTTAAGAGTGAATTGTTCTGGGTCCTGTGCATTTTCCTTGAAATCGGCTCACCAGGGCCACAGGTTCCACAGGTTTCTCCTGCTGGGACTTGGATAGGGATCGAGTGGCGTCTCCACAGCGGTCACAGCATCTCGACCCCGAGGCTTCGGGTCCCTGGTGTGCACTGACACACACACACACTTCCAACTGTTCACGCCTTCATTTCTCGCAGTGAGATTCTTTAGGGCTTTTTCTTTTTTTTGTTTTTTAGCTGTGGGGTTTTTGTTGTAGTTGTTTAGTTTTCTACGTTAAGGTCTCACACAGCTTTTGTAAGACTCATTCCTAAGTGTTTTATACCTTGGAAAATGGCATCCTTCTGTGAGGTATCTTCTGATCCTTTGTTGGGAGCGTGTAGAAAACCCAGCACACCCGCCAGCTCTGAAACTGTATCTGTAGGTACCTTCAGATTCTACATACGCAGAGCTCTGTCATTTGTGAACAAGAGCAGTGTTATTTCCTGCCTCTGTCGGTGGTTTGCTTTGCTTTCTTGCCCTGCTGTGCTGGCTGTGGCTTTGGGGTGCTGTGTCCTCCCTGAGGTCGGGGCGGCCTGGAACCCCGCGCGGTTCCGTTCCACATTGCTGTTCCCATTCTGTAGATTCCCTTATGGATTACACATCTCCCATGCTATCAGTCTGCCAAAGGACTTGTCCATGAATGACAAATTTCCATGAATTACTAGATGCTTTTTCTTTTTGTAGTGGAGCTCAAACTCTGACCTCCTGCTTGCACTCACACTGCTGAGCTAAAGCCCGGCCCCAAAAGCCTTTTCTGTATCTATTGAAATCATCATATCATTTTCTCCCTTTAATTAGTTATCTTACTAAATTATACTGCACTGATTCCCAACCGTGACACCAAACGTGTATTCCTTGAATAAATTTGATTTGGCTGTAATCCACTGGTATTTCCTACTGGTTTAGGCAGATTCTATTTGCTAATATTTTGCTTAGAATTTTTGTACCTACAGTCATAAAAGACTGGTCACAAGTTTCATTTCTTATAACATCCTTATTCTTGGCCTTGTTAAAGAAGTAAAAGAATTTTCTTCCTCTCCTCCCTGGAAACCCTTGAGTAAGCCTGAAAGGAGTTCTCTTAAACGGCAGACACCAGTAAAGTAACCCTAAAGCCGGTGGGCCTGGAGTTTCTTCACGGGAACATTGCAAATTGAAGATTCAGCTTATTGAATCCATAAGGCCACTGATTGTTCCTGCTCCTTGTCATTTTTGCTAAGTTGTGTTTTTTCAGGAATTTTCCCACGCGCGCTCCTCCCCGCCCTCAGCCTCCCCTCTGTAGAAATCCCCCGCCTTTCCTTGATCCCACACCTCCTCCCATTTCTTGAGTATTCCCGAGAACCCTGCGTTTCTCAGGAGCCCCGCACCTGTCTGCTTCTGTCCCCACTGTCTCATCCTCAGGGTTTTAACTGGACTCTCTTCGTACAAACTGTGCTGTCCTCTGTCAAAATCAAGCTGCTGCCCAACGAGGAAGTGGTAGTCTATGGCATTCCCTACCTGCAGCACCTGGAGGACATCATTGACCGCTACTCGGCCAGGTGAGGCTGGGCGAGGTCTCACGGGCTCTGCATCTTTGCGGTCCCCACCCTACAGCAGCTTGCTCTCAGGAGAGGTCCCTGTGAGGGGCTCAGAGCTTACACTGAGTGGCAGGGAGCCCTGCAGGAGAGACAGGGGCCTCTCAGGCAACGGGCTGATGGGTGGGTCCTGGGGGTCCCTCACCCACAGAGAGCGCTCATCCTGCCCCTGCCTCCTGCCAGGACCATGCAGAACTATCTGGTCTGGCGCCTGGTGCTGGATCGCATCGGCAGCCTGAGCCAGCGGTTCAAGGAAGCCCGGGTGAAGTACCGAAAGGTGAGCGCACTCAGGCGGCCAAGCCGCACCCACCGCCTGGCCCAGACTCGCCTGGCATTTGGTGCAGACACTTGACGTAACCACCAGTTGCACACCAGGGCCGGCAAAGATGCGGGGCTGATGGGGACGTTGTCCTCTTGTCCCCTTGCATCCTAGGGACAGGCAGCCAGGCACTCTCATGGCTGCTTCAGTCACGGGAAGCCAGGCCCAAGGGAGATTGGGACTGGTGACCAGGGTGGTCACTGTGGGCCAGTGCCAGCCTGGACCCTGGAAGCAGAGCCCATCCAACAAGGTCAAAGGGGAGGCAAGGACACAGGAGGACCACTCCACCTCTCCCAGCACCTCTCCACTGGGTGGAGCCTCCCCCAGAACCGCTAGGCTGCCATTCAGTGCCCACCCTTGTCCCCACTGGCTCCTGGATACCCTGGGCCCAGCGCAGGGTGGCTTCATACAGACGCAGAAGAGTAGATGTGGGGAGGGGTGGGTGAAGGCATGTGTGGACCCCGCCAGGCGCTGTACGGCACCACAGTGGAGGAGGTGCGCTGGCGTGAGTGCATCAGCTACGTCAACAGCAACATGGAGAGCGCCGTGGGCTCCCTGTATGTCAAGCAGGCCTTCCCCCGGGACAGCATGAACGTGGTGGGTGTCCCTGCTTTTCACAGCCCGGCTCCCATCCACCTCCAGCCCACGGGGACCCAGCCGCACAGCAGGCCCTGTGTCCACCACCCTGCACTTGAGCCCAGACAGCCCTTCCCCCGCTTGGTCCTTCCACCTGAAGGGACACACATGTTCCCTGGGGCTCTCATCAGAGAGGAAGACCTCTGATCCCTGACCCCAGCTGGCCATCAGGCCTCCAGCCCCAGACCTTGCAGGCCCACTTGGCAGAGGCTTGGGCTGCACATACTGTGAATGCAGGATGGGTAGACCCAGGATGAGGACCCTGAGCAGGGTGGTCACCCCCACACAAGCCCCCCTCCCCGGGACAGCCCAGATAAGAAGGTCTGCATGGCCCCCAGGTCCGACAGCTCATCAGCAAGGTTCGGGCTGTGTTCGTGGAGAACCTGGATGAGCTGGGCTGGATGGACCAGGAGTCCAAGAAGAAGGCCCAGGAGAAGGTGGGTGAGCCAGGCAGGGCCCTGGCAGCTGCGGGGGTGCTGCAGCCTGCAGAGCCCCACAGATAGAGGAGCCGGACATCCTCCAGAGTCCAGCAGTCAGGACCTGGGGGGCAAGGGCAGCAGGGGGGAGCAGAGCCAGGAAATCCCAGCATCCTGGGACCCAGCAAGGCTTCTGGACAAACAGTAGGGTGACAAACAGCCCTGACTCCTGTCACCTTCGGCATATGGCCCGGGGCGCCCCCCGCTCCCGGTGAGCAGCACCAACCTTTCCAGCCAGCTCTTCGCTCCCCTCAGGCCTTGAGCATCCGGGAGCAGATTGGCTATCCCGCCTACATCCTGGAGGAGGACAACAAGCGCCTGGACCAGGAGTATTCCAGCGTGCGCCCCGGCCTCCGCACCCCTGCCTCTGAGCCAACCCCAGGGAACCAGGCCCCTGATTACCCGGGAGGGGGCACTGCAAGGCACCCTGCCACCTTCCCAGTCACCAGCCCAGCCACCCTCCTGGGGCAGCAACGGCGTTGGCCTTAGTTTATTGGTGGGGAAACTGAGGTCCGGGGTGCTAAGGAGTTTGTTAGAGCCCCATCCACCTGCACCCAGAGTCTTCCAGCCATGTGCCAGGCCGCCTGGCATGCACAAAGGCCCGTCCCCAGCCTTCTGGACCCCTCCTGGCCTTCTGGGACCCCGCCCAGGCACTGGCCGTGACAGTCCCTTTCCTGTAGCTGAACTTCTCGGAGCACCTGTACTTTGAGAATGCACTGCAGAACCTCAAGGCCAGTGCTCACAGGAGCCTCAGGAAGCTTCGGGAAAAGGTGGACCAGAATCTGTGAGTGGTGTGCAGGGCATGGCAGGGACAGCTTTGTGCCTGGCTGGGCCAGCCTGGCGTCGGCTGGGCAGGGATGCTGGGACTGTGAATCGGCTTCTGGGTCCTGTGGTCGCCTCCCACAAGGACTCCCGAGATTAGAAATGGCACAGGACCTGCTCTGGAATAGCCACCGTGACATAGGCAGGGAGGACACAGCCCAAGGGTCTCAGGAGGTGTGGCCTCCCAGTGACCCATGTGTTTACCACAGCTGGATCATTGGAGCTGCCGTGGTCAATGCCTTCTACTCCCCAAACCGAAATCAGATCGGTAGGCTCACCCCCCAGCCCCTTCCTGCCAGCCAGCTGCCCCCTCCCAACCCTTGGGTGCCCTCCCGTGCCCCTGCGCCCATGAGGAGGGACAGACAGTGCGGCAGAGGAGGGGCTGCTGCTCAGGGCAGCACATCAGGGTGGGGAGAAGCTAGACACAGCACATGAGCCTGCCCTGAGCTAGTCCTGCCCACAATCTCTGAACCTGTTTCCCCATCTGTACACGAAGAGTCCTGATGTCCACTTCCTGGTCTGGATGACAAGATCCCAGGAAGCCTGCCTGAGCCAGGCACACAGGTGCATGCCTCCCAGCTGACCCTCTGTCCCCCCAGTGTTTCCCGCGGGGATCCTCCAGCCGCCCTTCTTCAGCAAGGAGCAGCCACAGGCCTTGAACTTTGGGGGCATTGGGATGGTGATCGGGCACGAGATCACGCATGGCTTTGATGACAATGGTAAGGGGTGAGGGGTGGCCTTGTGGCTTAGGGGGGACAGAGGCCAGGCTGTGGGTCCTCAGGGAGCTGCAGCCCAAGCCCCCCCAGGGAACTGCTTTGGGTATGGGACACATGGGCTGTGCACTCCAGAGGCCCCAACCACACTCACTTCCCCTTCCTGGGCCAAGCCCACCTCCATCCCTGGAAGGGGCTGCCCTGCCACCCAAAGCTGCCCAGCCCTGTCCCCAGGGCCACATGCTCCTCCTCTGTATGCAGAAGTTTCAGCTGTGACAGGAGGTCTCCAAAGCCGGTGTCTCTGGGACCTGAGACTCCAAGCCTCGACCTTAGGGAGATCACCGTGCCCTCCCTCTATGGGCATCCCTGGCAGGCATGCCAAGGCTCCTCAGGGCTCAGGCTCAGGTCCAGAACCATGAGCCTCAGAGGCTGGGCTGGAGGAGGTACAGGGCCAGTGGGATCCTGGACCGGACTCTGCTGGGGTCCGGGACCACTGGCCTCTGCTCCACCTGCCCAGGCCGCAACTTCGACAAGAACGGCAACATGCTGGACTGGTGGAGCAACTTCTCGGCCCACCACTTCCGGCAGCAGTCGGAGTGCATGATCCACCAGTACGGCAACTACAGCTGGGACCTGGCCGACAACCAGAACGTGAGTGGGGGGCCTCCGGCACCAGCCTGACCCTGACCCCAGCCCCATCCCTGTGGGACTAAGGGAGCAGGGCCTGGCTGCCCCCACCCTGTGTCCTGTGCACAGGTGAACGGATTCAGCACCCTCGGGGAAAACATCGCAGACAACGGAGGGGTGCGCCAGGCCTACAAGGTGGGTCCCAGAGCGGGGCATCTCGGCGAGGCAGGGGCTGGTCCTGGCTTCTCTCCTCCTGGCTGGACAGTGCCTTCAGCAGTGCCTCAGGCAGTGGCCCCACTGAGTCCTGCTGCCAAGGACTAGAGGCACCCGTGATGGCCTAAACAGCAGGGGTAGCCACCCCTTCCCCTGGGGCAGGTCCTGAAACTAGACCTCCAATGTGCATGGAGCTGTGAGGACCCCAGACGCCCGGTGGGAATGTCAGGTGTCAGCCACCTTGTGGCATTTGGTGCCCACAGGCCTACCTAAAGTGGATGGCGGAAGGTGGCAAAGACCAGCTGCTGCCCGGGCTGGAGCTCACCTACAAACAGCTCTTCTTTATCAACTATGCCCAGGTAGCAGCACAAGTCCCAACTCCACAGCCCACACTCCACACCCATCTGTCTTTGGAGGGCCCCCATGTGTGCTCCAGGGCCACCAAGGGGCTGCCAGCTGCAGAACCACAACCAGCAGGCTGGGCAGCTGGGCATCCACGCAGATGTGGAGGGAGGGCAAAAACCTGCAGGTTTCCCATCCCCAAGGGGCAACCAAGGGGCACTTCCTGCCCTGAGGCCCCCAGACCCTTGGTCACACACCCTCATGCACCCACAGGTGTGGTGCGGTTCCTACAGGCCCGAGTTTGCTATCCAGTCCATCAAGACTGATGTCCACAGTCCACTGAAGTACAGGCAAGTGCGCTGCACACCCCCGCCCTGCCCACCCATCGCAGACCAGCTGCTTCAGCCCACTCCTCCACAGGGTGCTGGGCTCCCTGCAGAACCTGCCTGCCTTCGCCAATGCATTCAACTGCGCCCCGGGCTCCCCCATGCGCCCCAAGCAGCGGTGCCGCATCTGGTAGCTGAGGCTGAGCTGTGCTCCGTGACTCGCGCCACCTTGGGCTGAAGAGGCAGTGTTTCACCAAGAAGGTGCAGCCAGTGGGGGTCAGCAGGGACATGCATCTGTGCCCTGCGGCCACTGTGCCCCCCAGGCATCCTTCACATTGGCAGGCACCAGAGAGACCTGTGTCCAGGCTGCGCTCTCCGTGCTACCCACAAGGGTCAGTGCCCGTCACAGCCCGTAGACACAATCAACTGTCTTCCGCCCCCTCGCCGAAGCGCGTTATCCTCAATGTCCACGAGTTTCAGACTAGGGCCAAATAAACACTTCCAAGGCGACAGCCTCATCTAAGGAGCCACTCGGCAACCAGGTACCTCTCGCACTGCACCAGGTGTGGGGAGTTAAGAGGAGCCAGTGAAGGTGGGGCTCCTGCCAAGCTCTCAACCTTCCAGTGCTGGAGCGATAGTGACCACATCACCCCGAAATGCCCACTTTCAGATGGGAGGAGTCTAACTCAAGGAGGGGCAGAGGCCTGGGGACTGCAGCTGAGACTGCATATTTGAAGTCTAGAACAGCTGGACTGCAGAGGGCACACTGCCTGCTGTGTGTGCAGACAGTGGTGAGGGGACCAGGACACTATGGTCACCCAGGCTTGGACCCAGGAGGCACAGGGAGGTGCTGAGGTCTTGAAAGTCCACTAAGACCAGTGAACCCACGAGGGGAAGGCCTGCCGTGGCAGGAGTGGGGGGGTCCAGACCCCTGCTCTGGGCAGGTGAGGACCTGGGGAAAGTGGCTGGGAGCCCCACGTGCTGAGCTAGCCAAGTCCCCCAGGTCAAGGCCACAGCTGCCATTGCAGGGTGCATGTGGCAGTTCTGCCCTCACAAAAAGCCATCAGCATGGAGCTGATCCAGAATGTACTTGGTGGGGTCCAAACCACCTCGTCCTTGAAAACCCACCCAGCTTTCCCGAGCCCCCAGAAGTCTCCCCAAAACCTACTCTCCCTAGCCTCAGCCTGCCTGCTGGTCTCCAGACAAAGGTGGACCAAGGTGCAAGGTCACCGCGAAGGAAATGACCAGGCAGTAAGCACTGCCCTCAGCGTCCCATGAGCCAGAGGCCTGAGGTCCGCAGGGCCACATTTCCTGCAAAGGACAATGACCTTCACGGCAGGCCAATGACCCCCACCAGGGGCACCCCTTGGGACCAATGGGGGTGAGATGGCAGCCGCAAAGACGCAGAGTGCAGCTGGTGACAGAACACGGGGCTCGGGGACAGCAGTTTTAATGGCTCAGTGCTGCCTGACAATCAGACGAGGCCCAGTGTCGCAGCCAGCACCAAAGGGCAAGGTTCTTCTGGTTGAGCACCCAGGGTACTAAGGCAGCAGATACCTTCCAGGTCCGCAGAGGCTGGGGCTGTCACCTCCCACACACCATCTCGTCACACTGCAGGGAAACGGGCCTAGTCAGATGGGCCATACTCCTGTGGTCCCTCACCCAGCATGCTGGCCACAGGCGGCATCCTGGCCTTTGGGTCCCTCCTGTCCACCTGGGGTAGGAGGTAGCTGCCAGGACCACACTACCGCCAGACGGGCACAGCAGACAGGCCAGGCTCCTGCAGCTCAGGAGGCAGCCTTCTCTCCAGCCTCCAGCCCCCATGTAGCCCATTGCCCACAGGGGGTCCAGCTGCACCTCCCTGTCTGGTCACACCACCCCTGGGTCCCTCCCAGCCTCTTCCCTCCACAAATGGAATCTGAGGGACAGCAGTGCTGACACAGCTCCCCAGAGGCTGCCGCTCGAGCCCTGGCCAGGGGTGTCATGTGCACAGGTGTGGAGGGGCGCTGTGTGTAGCAGGCTGTGTCATCCAGGCCTCACTCACCTGGGGTGGCTTGTTGGTGCCAACCTCTGCAGAGATGCCCAGGGCATGCAGGATGCGCTCCCGAGGGACATAGTCACCTGGGGACTTCTGGATGAAGTGCAGCATAACTCTGTCACCACCTGTGGCAGCAGGCAGGTGGTCAGGGCAAGCTGGGAGGCCACCTGCTCCAGATACTCTTGTCCTACCACCTAGCCAAGGTGACACTCAGGACCAGGTCACCCCACAAAAAGGAAGTTATGAGATGGACAAGTCACAGATCAGCACATGTGGCCACCAAATCCAGGACGGCCATCACCTAAGGATGTGGCCTGACTCACCTTTGTTGACCACCAGCAGCCCTCCACTCTGCAGCAGGTCACCAGACAAGTTCCCTTGGATGCCAACAGCCTTGGCCTGAAGGAGAACAGAGCCAGTCCCAGGGGAACCCCCAGGATACCCCTCCCCCCCGCGCACCACTGTCACAAACCTTGGCAGCCACTTCTCGCACAGGCTTTCCCAGGGCGGCTGGCAGGATGCTCAGGCTGTTGTACCTGCAAAGATACCAGCTCTCTGAGCCCAGATCCCAATGCCTGCTCCCAGTCTCCACCTGCGGCAGACACCAGCCCAGGCCAGGTCCCGCCCCACCCATTCATCTCACCAGAAGCTCCGAGATGACACCAGGTGGCTACAGCAGCAACCTGCCTGGCCAGGAGCAGCTATAGGAGCCACAGGCACCACCTCCCCCACCCTGTGGATGGCTGGCCTGGGTTCTGCAGAGGATGTAGAACGTGGGATCCAGCCAGGCTGAGTATGCTCAGTTGGCACTGCCAATCAGCCAGGTGGCATGTGGCACAGCAGCCAGCATGGCCCGGACAGATGCCTTGGGCTCCAGGCCCCCTTGGGTCAACTGGATGAGAACCCTATTACAGACACCCCCATCACAGAACCAGCAGAGGGGCTGTCTGGAGCTGCGATGCCCCTGGGGCTGGCAAGCTGGGGTAGGGCTGAGTAGACAGCTGAGGGAAGATGTTAGCAACAAGATGCATCAGCGAGCACTGGGCAACCTGGGGTACTGCTACACAGAGAGACAGACACACTTACCGCTTAAAGCCCAGCTCCTTGTAGAGCTGCTTGCTCTCATCCAGGTAGAGCTCTAGAAAAGGAACCCACAGGCGTGTGCCCCGGGCCTACCCAGGTTCTACTTCCATCAGCCTGCCCTCTGCCGTCCTGCCCTCCACGCCCGGTCCAATGACCACCACCACCACCCCCGCAAGGCTGATAACCAGGACTCGTGGAACTCTGCCACTGGCCGAGGACTCTGTGAGGCACAACGTGGGGGCTGGGAGGACACTGCCAACACATGAGCCCAGACTTGGGGTGGGCAGAGGGCTGAATCGCACCTCCGGAGAAGTAGCCGCCGTCCAGGAACTCCTGCAGACCCAACGTCTCTGGACCCACGCCCACCAGGCGCACGCCGTGCTGGTCCAGGAGCCCGCGGAGCTCACTGAGGTCGCGCGCGATCCAGCGACACACCATGCAGCCGAAGCGCCGCAGCCCGGCCACCACGCAGGCCTGCTCCTGCCACAGGCTGCGCAGCTCCACCAGCTGCTGGTGGGCTGCGTGGTCAGGGACTCATCCGAGGTTGCCCCCGGGCCCATCACGCGAGCCTCGGGACTCTGGGACCCCCCACCCCGGCCGACAGGCACCCGCCAGGCCTCACCTCCCCGGTCACCGCGTGCTTCACGACACATGCGCCCACGCGGGCAAGGTCCACAGCGCTCATGGCGACAGCAGCTTGTCCTGGGCCCCGATTCCCGGATCCTGGCCTTGCGGAGCCTACGGAGATGCGCAGAGCTCCGCTGAGCTCCGGGTGAGCCCGCCCGGCCACGCCCCCGTGGCGCTGGCCACGCCCCAGACTGCGGCGTCCGACCTTGGGATGCCCTCCTACCTAGCCCTGCCTCCTCGCTCCAGACCCCGCCCCAAATTGCCCCGCCTCCTCGCTGGGCACGCCCCTACCTCCGCCCCCGATGCCCAGGGCCTTAGGTCACCGGATTTACATATTCATAACCGCTAACCACAGCCCAAGCTTGGCGCCCTTCCGCACGCATTGCGCTTGCGCAAAGCGTGGCGTCAGGCGATTGGCGGAGCCCTCTTGGTTTGGCAGTTGTCCGGGCTTACCCGGATGGAGAGGTGGTGCTTGTCGCGGTGCACGAGTGCTGGACCTGACCTCGCCACCCAACTTGGGGTCTTCTTTTCCTGAGTGCGCACCTTCACCGCAGTGTCAAGCCTGGGGTCCCCGAGGCGAATAGGAGTAGCTATGACCGGGAACCCGGATTCGAGCTGGGTGGAGGACTCAGAGCAGGGGCCCTGGTGCCTTCAGAGGCCTGCGGGCGCTTGGTGTAGATGCGACTTCTCGGGGACAAACCTCCGCGGGGGCCCCGGGAAAGCCTGTCTGCTCGGGGACCGGCCCAGCCTGACGCACGGTGACGGTGCCACTGCAGCTGGGTCCCGAGCCGCGCAGCTGCAGAGGCAGAACTCAGTGCAAGGGGACAGAGCGAGCTATGGGGTCTTCCCCAGGTGGCGGTATGGACTTATTTTTGTGCACGCAGAAGTCACGCTGGGGTCTAGGGAACCAGTGAGCATGGTGCTTTACCAACATTGTGATTAAAAGTGACTTCGCGATTGCAAAATGCTTTCCTGTTCTCTTTAGATGTTCCCTATTCCCTCTAGGGCTCTCATCGAGTGTGTAACTTCCGAAAAAATTAAGACAGAAGTTCTTAGAGGAACAGAATAATTCTGCCATCAAGGCGCAGAAACATGGGTCTCCCTGACCCACGCTCATTCCTTAGAATATTTCTGTTGGTGATATTTAATTTTATGAATTTTATTATACAATGAGTACTTAGGAAAAAAATCACAAAAATAAAGTATTGAACTTTTAATGTGTTTCTTAAAAAGTATCAAAATTTTCAACATCAACTAGTTGTTTTGTTTTGTTTTGTTTTGTTTTGTTTTGTTGTTTGATACAGGGTCTCACTATGCAGTTCGGGCTGTCGGGCTCACTTTGCAGCCCTGGCTGGTCTCGAACTTGCTAATGATTCTCCTGCTCAGTCTCCCAAGTGCTAGGATTACAGAAGTGCACCACCACGACCAGCTTTTAACATCAACTGTTTTTTACAAAGTCTAAAAAAGAACAACACAAATTATTCTATGAATTACAGTGATAGCACTTTCCATAAAAGTCTGTATGTCAGTGATCCCGCCTAAGGCAGGTCCGCACACGTGTGTCACACTGACAGCACGCCTGTTTTGTGGCTTTTTTGTAGGACATACCTGTCATCTCAGTGGTCTTGCTGTTTTGTCAAGAGGTTCTTACGTTATACCACGTGTAGTTAACATGAGCATAAAATATCAATGAAAGTATTACATTCTTAGTATGTACTGTGCATTTAAAATAGACACCACATTTTCACATCAGCTGTACTTGCTTACAAAATCAAAAAGCATCAGAAATAAATTCCTATACGAACTATAATGAAAGTATCAATAGAACAACAAAAATAGGCTTTGCCTCACCTGTCACACCCAAAGCGATCTTCACACGACAACTGCCTATTCTGTACACACGTCTCACACTGACAGCATGCATGCTTAGTTTTCTTTTCCTATGTGGCAGTCTTGTCTCCTCTCTTCCTGTTTTGCAGGAGCTTCCCACTATATTGTCCAACATGCACTTAGCAGGGAAATGAGATACCAACAGAAAAATATCAAATGTGTAATGAGCACTTACAACAGACATCAGCATTTTCAGATTGGCTGTTTACTTATAAAAATTAAAAGGTAACATCAAAAATAACCTATGTGAGCTACAGTGTACACACAAAAGCCTACCACAAAAACAAGCTGTGCTTCAGCTCTCTCACCCAAGGCAGTCTTCACACTTAGGACTACATATTCCAAGCACAAGTATCATTTACGCTGATGCGTAAACAGTATGTTTTCCTGTACTTTCTTGGGGCACAGTTGACATCTCTTTGGTTTCCCTGTGTGACACTGCACCTGCCTCTTCACCTGTGAACTCACCCATGTGCTCCACAATTTTTTGTGTAGTTTGGGCAGAAACATTTTGTTTTTTCTCTGCCATAAATGATCTTTTATGAGCTCCAATCTGAATCCTGTAAGAGATTTCTCCTTGGTATTTTGCACTGTTATTTTTTTGGTAAATTATCGAACTATTTATGCCACACATGTTTAGGGTAGGGTAACACACAACCACTGGCCAGTGCTTTGCGTTCCAGGGGACACCGTGGTTGCTGCATAGCTCACCAGTAACATCTAATCCACCTTGGTTTTGTTGAATAAGCTTTCCATCTCAGCTTTCTGTTTTGTGGAGGTTTCCCTGTCAAAATTTCCACGTGGCGAAACGTCAACATCAGCAGTACAAATTTTTCTTTGCCACACACTAGGCCAATGTTATATCTTTCTGAAACCCAAAGATTGTGTTTTGCAGTTCTCTGTTGAAACTGCAACATTTCACTTGGAATTTCTGCTTCGTTCCTGTATATAATTCCTGTGATGGCCAATTTGTGCTCTTAGCAAGTGTAACATCAGTTAGAAACCCATACACCGATTGTTGAATGTCACATTCCCACTAGTTTGGGAGACGGGAGAGGCAAGTGTGTTCACCACATCATTCATTTATTACTGTACAGAGAAGGAGCCAGTGACTGAGTTCCAGTATAAGTGTCTAAATGGAAAGCATAAAGTCTTTGTTTCTACAAGAGCATAAATTTTTATGCCATATTGTAACCCACTGCTTTTCCTTAGGTCCTTCATATTCCTGTGATCATCTTGAGAAATCCCTGCTAAGTACAGCAGACCCACGAGTACTTGCAGTGCAGCTAGGAGGTGTCCTAATAAATACATTTTTTAATATGGCTAATGGTCCATATGGAACATGTTACGTGCATTCTGTATTTTGCAGCACCCTGTAGCATTTTGCCTGTTACAATTTCCAGCATTGAATAGCAGGGCTGGCATTCTGTGCGGTGCCTTTATTCTTGCCAAGACCCTCACTGTATTTGTGGACTTAGTTCTACCATTGGATGGTTCCATTTGGTTGAGTGACCATCTCACCACATCCCAGCTAGTCAAACACGTACTCACGTTGCTGTTTCCTTCATCGTCTGAATTAAGGAGGTTTGCATTCCCCCGTCTGTATTGGTTGATTCTTTCTCACTGTCACAGGAACTTTGGTTCACATGGCCAATGTCAAAGTCTGCTCCTCCTCCTCCTCACTGGCCCACACCACTCTTCTGCTAAAGCATGTATTTTACCATAATGGACCGTCTTCATCATCCATGCATGAGTAATCTGATGATTCACTTTTGACTTCCTCCAAAACTTTCAACTCTGGTTTTCATGTGCCACGGTACTGAATTGGGCAACTTCTACCAGAAAAATCAAAAGACAACTTTTGTTTTAAACAAATTCTGGAGTAGTGTGGGTCCATTGGCCCCTCTGAGAAGCTCAGATAAACATACACAAAACCCGTCAGCTGGAACATGAGGTGGGTAAACACTGCATTGTGCCACCTCTGCACATGCGCACACACCTTGCTGGTGATCATACCAAGTGGGTAAACACACAGATTGTTTTCTGTATCCCTCAAGAATGGGTACTGAAGCCTAGCAAACTCTCTTCTTCACCTGGGGGCCAGGCTCCGGCATCCTGTCGGTCGAGTGAGTCCAGTAGAGGCCCGAAACTGTCTTCTTCACCTGAGGGCCAGGCTCCAGCTTCCTGTCAGATGAGTAAGTCCAGCGAGGCAGGGAACCCTGCCCCAGCCTTCGAACTCTTTTCTTTGCCTGGGGACCAGGCCCTGACTTCCTGTTGAGATCAGTGAGTAAGGAGGGGGCAGGGAATTCTGTCCCAGCCTGGCTGACCTCTCTCCCTCACTTGGAACAACACTTGAAGCTCAAAAACATAGGAAAATGACAAAATGAAAGACAAAATCGCAGTCTCAAACATCCCGCCTATCCCAAGAAAGCCTAGGAGCCATGTGCATAGAAGAAAATACATGCCACGCACCTGAAATACCTGAAATAATAGTAACTGAAATAAAGAAGCAACTCTGGGAAGGCTTAAAGGAATTCAAATTAGAAATAATCTCTCAGGTAAAAGAAGAAATGATAAAAGAAATGAAGGAGATACTGAACATATCTAAAGAAGACACAGTTGAAAAACTTGAGGAGATAGACAAAAAGATACAATCCCTGGATGAACAATATAAGAAACAAACAGAATATATAAAGCAGATGCAAAGAGATATACAGGAAATCAAAAACTCCATCGAAAGTTGTAAAAACCGCCTCAATGAATGTGAAGATAGAATTTCAGACCTCGAAGACAAGATTGCGGCCAGTGAACAGGAAAGGAAAGATCTTTTAAAAATAACAAGAAATCAGGAAATAACAATTCAACACCTGCAAGATGACACAAAGAGGAACAACATAAGGTTAATATGGATAAATGAAAAAGAAGGGAACAACATAAAGGATGTCAAGAGGATATTTAGAGAAGTAATAGCTGAAAATTTCCCAAACATGAGATTGGAAACTGATATAAGATCAGTGAAGCATATAGAACTCCAAATAGCCATAACCAAAATAAAACTACACCCAGACACATAATAATGGCCATCCCAGAAATCGAACAAAAGAATAGAATATTAAAAGCTGTCAGAGAGAAAAGACATCACCTATAAAGGAAAACCTATCAGAATCACAGCAGACTCCCCAGCACAAACAATAAAGTCAAGAAAAGCATGGAGTGAAGTATTCCAGATCCTAAAGGAAAATGATTTCCAACCTAGACTGATGGACCCTGCAAAACTGTCCTTCAAAATGGAG